TAGGCTCCGGTGATCCTTCCGCCTCAGCCTTCCAAGTAGCCGGAATTACAGGCATGCACTACCACGCCCGGCTGATTTTTTGATTTATTGTAGAGATGAGGAGGTGTTGCCTGCCCAGGCGGGTCTTGAACCTGCGGGTTCAGGCAATCCACTCACCTCAGCCTCCCAAAGGCGCAGGATTACAGGCTGAGCCACCGAGCCCGGCAGGATTTTCTTTTTTAATACTCCATATCTCACCATCCCCCATGTTTTAAATAAAGGAGGTAAATAGGCATGTGCCATGCTAATTCTAGATTGGGTACTATTAACCAACATACTAGAGATTCAAACTACTGAGCAATTATTTTTAATACCTTTTCATACTCAGAAGCCAGGAAAAGGATTACAGCTTTGTTTATTTTATATAATTCAGATAACCATGGTGGAGTTTTTCAGTTTAAATATCTCCATACATCATTGAGATGTTTAAAACAAATGTTTACATTGGGACTACTTTATTTATAGTTTCATTATTGAGGCTTTAAAAAAAAAAAAAAAGCTCTGTGGTGTGTAAGTAAGACTAGATTATTGGCACCAGATTTCCTTGCTAAAATGAAACATTTAGTTTCAGGAGATATGTAAATGAAGGTTAATATAGCTTTATAAGAACTGGTTCTGTACAAGGAGGGACCCCCAAAACCCAGAATTCATATGTAAAAAATGGTATATTTATTCTTACATGCTTAAGTTTCAATCACCTTCAAAGTTCTCTCTGTTTGATGTGGTGCGCCTATCACGATGCTTTTTCCACTGCTCAGAACGATTTTTGAACTTGTCATTTTTTATGTCTTTTAGTGCTTCTGCTGTTTTTTGTTTCACCTCTTCCCCATTGACAAAACGTTTTCCTTTGAGGACATTTTTCATCCAGGGAAACAAAAAAACTTGCTCAGGGTGAGATTGGGTGAATAGGGAGGGTGGGGCATGGGGGTCATGATGTTTTGGATCAAAAGCTGCTGAACCCTCAGCACAGTGTGGGTTGTTATGGTGGAAGAACCAGTTACCTGTTTGCCACTTGGAATGTTTCTTCCACAAATCATTATGCACCCTTACAAAACTTCCAGATAAAATCTTTGGTTAGCCGTTTGATCTGGAGGAACAAATTCTGAGTGTACTACAAGGAACCTGCCCTCCAAAAGATGATTCTGGGGTTTTTTGGGTCCTCCCTCATATAGAAAATATTTTTACTTTGTCTTTTCCTGATTACAAATATAATTATGCAAAATAAATCATTGTGGATATATATACATACACACACACACACACACACACACACACACACACACACACACACACACTGTTTAATAGAGCATAATGTTACAGATTTTGAAATGTCCTTTTTTTGTTAATAGCGCACTGAAAATATTTTAGCCTATCATTGCTTTTAGGATTTTACTTTTGAAAAACTATATATCTTTCTGTCATATGAAATTAACTTAACCAGTGTCTACCCTTCTCTCTAGAATTCTTTATCCCTAACTTATTTTCTTCCTCATCTTTTTTTCTTCTTCCTCCTCTTCTTGTTATTCAGGGAAGATAAATAAAGTATACCTTTATTACATGGTTGAATCTACAAAGGAAAATGTTTCATTAAAATAAGTGAGATTTTGTCTGGGCACAACAGTAATCCCAACAGTTTGAGAGGCTGAGGCAGGGGGATCAACATAGTAAGACCTCTGTCTTTCCAAAAAAAAATTAAAATTTAACCAGAAGTGGTGGCATGTACCTGTAGTCCCAGTTACTCAGGAGGTTGAGGCAGAGGGATCATTTGAGCCAAAAGTTTGAGACCATCCTGGGCAACTTAGCAAGACTCCTTCTCTACAAAAAAAATTGGGCACATGTGGTAAAGCATGCCTGTAGCCCCAGCTACTGAGGCAAGTGGATCACTTGGGCCCAGGAGTTTGAGGTTGCAGTGAACTGTGATCATGTCACTGTACTCCAACCTGGTTGTCATAGTGAGACCTGTCTCTAAGGAAAATAAAATAAAATAAAATGAGATTTCATAGGTTGGCTATACTTGATATAGTCAAGCCAGTTATTAGATGTCAGTTTTTTGTTTGTTTGTTTTTTAAGTCAGAGTTTCATTCTGTTACCCAGGCTGGAGTGTAGTGGCATGCTCATGGCCACCGCAGCCTTGACCCACTGGGCTGACGCAGTCCAAGTAACTGGAACCATAGGCGCATGCCACCACACTCGGCTAGATGATGTCAGTTTCCTCACTGATGACAAAGCCATGTCTTTGGTTATATATTTGTCTATTGGATTCCAAAATGTTCCCATTCAGGAAAATTTGCCATGGTGTATCAGAGTGAATTTTCCTGGGATATAAAGGGAAATTATAGAGTGTATAATAAAAATATATGTCATGTTTTCCAAGATGAAAGGTACTAGCCACATGTGAGTATTTAAATTTAAATTAACTAAAGTTAAATAAAACAAAAATTGCAGTTCCTCAAGTACACTAGCCACAGTTCAAGTTCTCAGAAGCCACACATGGCTAGAGGTTAACCATGTTGGATAAGCAGCTATAGAATATTTTTAACACCACAGACAGTTCAATTGAATAGCCTTGGGGTGAAGTCTATATGTATTATCTGCTTATTAGATTAGAATTTTTACATCATTTGTTTTTTTTTCTTCTTCTCTGGGTATCATAAATACAACAAATTTCTGTCATTATTTTTGGAAACAGTGAAAAGCTCAAAATTAGCATCATTTTTAACTTTCCTACCAATTTAATTTTTTAAATGATGCAGTGAAACAAAACACCTATCAACATAGGGTTGCTTGCATTTTGAAATTCTAGGAGAACATTTTAAAATCCTGGATATAGTAAAAAGTCTCTGTATGGGTAGACTGGGGATAGTTTGTTCCATCAGTTGGGTGAGAATCTGGAGAAGATGACAGAAGAGAAACTGTTTATAAAAGACACTCAGAAGGAGCACATTAAGAGGAGAAATAACGTCTTTATTAGGATTGTAATTTTAGGAAATAATTATAGAACTAATACAAATTAACATGGGAACAATAGGGGCCATCAGAAAGAAAAGATAAGGGGAAGAGATGGAGAGGAGCCACCAACGCTTCGATAGTCCTTGAACACAGTCACTAAGTTTTATAATGTATCTATCCATGATCTTTTAGGTGTCTTACCAACAGGTCATTTTCATTCAGCAGCCAAGGAAGTTGGTGAAGAATGCAGATGAGATGTTAGCTGAGAAGAAAAGTGAGTGGTGAGGAACTCTCAACACCAAGCCAGATGACTTGAACTTGAAATTGCAGCTCTGCCCCTTCACGCTCTATAGGAATGTGGCGAGGTGTTCAACTCTTATGTGACTGTTTATCTGTAAAATGAGATGATCATGCTGCCTACCTCATCATGTTCTTGAGAGGGTTAAATAATTAAAATATTAAACTTGCTAAATACTATGTTACTAGCATTACTGATACCAATTAGGTAGGTAAGACAGGCACATGGTCAGTGCTTGATAAGTAGGAGCCTCCATATTTATTATAGCAGGGAAGCAGGCATTCGGACAAGTGATTGCAATGAAGTTAGATGAGTTTTATGATAGGGTGAGTTCAGCATTCTATGGTAGTATATGTTGAAGTGAGCTAATTCTTGAAAATTATTTCAATAAAATGAATTAGCGCTAAGTATGGTTGCTCTTTGTTTTAAAGTATACTTTTATAGTTTCTCAAACCAAGTCTTACTCTTGTTATAGCTTGTAGTCTTTAAAATTCGTTTATTACCCTGGTGTAAGAAATATTTAAAGGTTCCAAGATATTAAGTAAAAATGTTGCCCTGATCATTCTGGTAATATCATAAGTATCACAATTCTTTCTTTGATGCTTTACATTTTACACCATGTTACCAAAAAGGTAATATAATCCTGTCTTAGCAATAGCATCTGGCTAATCAAAATAAAATCTGTCTTCCAGACTTTTACAAGTGAGTTTAGTTAGCTTTGAGTATAATTAAAGAGTGTATTACTTGATACCTATTAGAAACAGGAAATTGTGAGGTGCAACTGTTTTTCATATATAGTGGGGACAATTTTTCTTACTATAAATAAGAAGAGGCTAATGTGAGTTTTTAAGTATAAAATGTTAAAAGAACACCTACATAAGAGCTGAATCAATTGAACTTAGGTTCTGAGAGCTATGCATTTGTCAAAGTATCATTTGTTTCTTAACTTCATAATACTGTTTTTTAGTGAACTTGGTTTGCCTTACGTGGCAGTAAAGTAGATTCTTGCCTTTGTGTTTCTTGAGACATGATGATGGGAAATGAAGGACCAAATTTTGATTTATTAATATAATTGTTTTGAAATATGAAAAATGATCTTCTTTGAGCTAAATAAACTATAGGAAATGTCTTTAGTTATGAAACATCCCTTTGTTTCTTGGAACTTTGATTTTTGTGGGAGAAGTTGGCAATTTGAAAAAATAAACGAACCATGGAAGGAGCAGTGTGCTTGGTAAGGTCTTCTTGGATTGAGTGCCTAGGTACATGCAGTGCCAGCTTCTTCACTCTCAACAGCTATTACATGCCATCCTGTCAGAGGGTGGTTGCCGGTTTATTGCTTTGCTCTAATCGTAATTTATGTTTTTAGCAGAAATATAAACTACAGCTGATATTTGAAGTATTGAAACATTAGGTTTTAGAGATTATAGATTTTAGAATACTAACACAGAACATTGTTTGTTCTGTGGGAAGAAACAATGGTTTGATTTTTAATATGGGTTCTATTTGATGAAGGTTTTTGTTTTCATTTGACTCCATATTATAAACCCTGGACCATAGTAACAGATGAATTAGGCACACGTGTGTCCACTATGGGTTTTTATAAACATATAACTTCAGAATGTTCAGGCAACCAGATTCTCTTTTCAATTATAAAAATATTTAACTGTCTAAGATTGCTAGCCAGTGAGTTTGTATTCATTTGATTTTCTTCCAGATCCATGAGAAGCTACACTACTATGAGAAGCAGGGCCCGGTGCCCATCCTGCATGGCGCAGTAGCCTTGGCTGATGATGTAAGTATGCCCTTCTGAGCTGGCTGGGACGTGTCTGCCACAGACCTGGCCCAGGCAGCACTCATCCTGGTGCAGACAGATGTGTGTGATCCTACGAGTGAAAACCAGAAGTTGCAAATGTTTCCAAAAGTCCTGTCATCACTGAGCTTATGCTGATATTATGTTGATTTTCATTCACTTTCCTGTTCTAAAAATGTTGCATGCTACCCTCTTGTTCTGCTTTGGTAATGATGTAATAGAAATTTTCGGCTTTAAACTCTATGAAGAGAGAGGAGCTGTCAGCTGTTAGTGTGCTGAGAAAGTAACAGACAAGAAGAATGCGTTGGAGAAATAAAGACAGATGAGATAACTATATTGCTGACAGTACTAAAAAATGACAGATACAAGTATAGGAATGAGACATATGAAATACATAAAAAGACAGGATTGTTTTTAAAATGGATTATAAAGTATGGTAATGATTTATGAATATTAGACCTTTCCAAATTACCTTCATAACTAAAAAATAAATTTTAGAAGCAGTTGGCATTGACGGAGTAGTTAATTTCCTGTAGCTATAATTTTATTTTAAACTTGGAGTAAGGGAACTAGCTTGCTGATTCTTACTGTTAACTTTCGGACTCGGATGAATTGAGCGCACACCTGGATAAACTATAAAGGACACTAAGCTAGGAGAGAAATACAGTTAGTGTTAAGGCTGGTTTTAGTGATATCTTGTACTTCAGTTGTTGCTTTTACATTTTTTCTTTATTATGATAAAACAAGTTATTATTCAGGATAGTAATATATTAGGGCCATAATATAATAAAAGAAAATTGACCATGTACAGAAATTGATTTTCCTTGATATACTTTATATTCTAATTTAGAAAATAAAGCATATGTAATAAGTAACCAAGTTGTGTGCTGTTTGTTTAGTCTCCAAATACTTTTCCCTTTTGTTTTCATCTATGAAAATTACAAGTGTGTTTCTATATTTATATAATTTTTGAAACACAAGTGAATAAAATAAAGATGTAGATGTAATTCCACAAGTAAGTTGCAGTTTGAAAACATTTACTGTTCAGGCTTCTGGGAAAACTAATATAGATGAGGCCCAATCATATTGTAACAATATTGCTTTATAAAAAATTAGAGACTACTCTGTAAATCTGATAAACCATAGTATTTTATAATTCTTCAGAGCAGTGTATTTACATGTTAAATATATTGTTATATATTAAGTGACTAAAGAGTGTCAAGTGCCTTTTATGTCTTTTAATAAGTTAAAAATTTTGTAGAAATGTTGCCTTGAAAAAGTAAAAGCAATTTTTGAAATGTCACTAGTGAATGTGTTAGTTTTCTTTGATTTTTTTTTTTTGTGTGTAATTTACATTATGCCTTTTTTTTTTTTTAAGAGAAAACTCCTTTCCTAAAAACAAGAACAATTATTTTTACCTTGGTAGAAACAATAGAGACAAATGGACATTTCATGCAGTGTTTTCAGAAGGGGTTTTAAATAAATATACATTTATATATTTTAAATTATATGTTACATATTTCATAATTCTAATCTTTTTTCCTATATGAGTCTTGCTTTTCTTTGTATGAAAATTATGTGAGCCTTCTGATAACCTGAAATTGAATCAAAATTTTGATAGGAATATCTCTTTATGTCTCAAGAATGTCTCAAAGTTCCAACATTTTCTTTTGATAGAACAAATGGGAATTTTTGATCATTTCAGTAGCCTGCAGTCAGCATTGTTGGTACCACAATTGTCAACCTATTATAGATCATTTTATGATTAACTTGGTTTACATTGAACAGACTTCTTAGTCGGTATAGGTAAACATAATAAAAGTTTCAGACCATTTGCTCTATTAGGGGAATTCTAGTTCTTTTACTCCATCTGTAAACAGCACAGCTACTGTGGGTTTTTGGAAACCCCATGGGTCTTTGGAAACCCTGTGGATTTCACCACCTCATTCAGAAGCTCTTTTTTTTTCAGAGTTGGGGTACAGTGTCAAAGCTTGATCCAGTTCGTTTTACAAGTGGTCCTTTGTCTACATGCAAAAGACCATTCACATGGATGAAGTGTTGGGATTTGCCCTCATTGCAGTAAATCAGAAGGTGATTTGACTGATAGGATTACTTGATTCATACTCAGCCGAGAGCCGGGGCTTGGGTCTGGGCTACTTTGGGCCCAGAAAGACGACCAGTGATTGATGGTCTGTTTTCTTTTATGCTGACCTCTCCTTAAACACAGGGAAGTAATAGCCCTGAGCAAGACAGAGATTCTCAGTTGTTACACATGGAACCTTGCAATGCTCTTACTAAATGTTCTTTATGTCAATATGATCTCCCTTGCAGCTGGCTGAAGAGCTTCAGAACAAACCATTAAGCAGCGAGATCAGAGAGCTGTTGAAACTGCTGTCAAAACCCAATGTGAAGGTGAGGACATGTTACATGTTAATAATAAATACCTTCAAACAGGGTCAGTTTCTGAGCCTTCTGATGTATTTTGTTTCAAACATCAATTTTCAAGTAAATGTGTTTTCAGATAATATACTGTATTTTAATATCCTAAATTCTACTAATAAGAAATTATTAAGCTTTTGATTAGAATGTGGTGACAAACAACAAAATACTTTAACTGGGAACCTTAGAATTTAAGTTGGCAAATAAAATGTGGCTTCAAGTTCATTTTCCTTTTAAATGAAGTGAAGAATATGCCATACAGAACCTAAGTGATTTTGTTTAGGTTCATTTTACTTGGCCAGTTAATTATATTCCAGTATATATGACAAATATACCTATTTTTCTGTAGGATCATTTCAGCATTCTTCTTTCTCTTGTCCCTTTCTCCTCTCCATTTCCTTTTCCTCCACCAAATGATATTTCAAGTATTATACATTTTACAGAGCAGAGCAGTTTTTCAGTATAAAATACCAGTAAAATATTGGTAGACAGACTTCAGTTCTCCCTTTTTCATTTTCTCCTGAGTTTATCATTTATTTTTCATCCAAATGTGATTAGCCTACAGAAGGCATTTAAAATTTTCTTGCTGTTATTCTAAGGCCATTGATGTACTAAACCCTGTACTGTATACATTTTGGACTTTATACTATTGCAATTGTGTGTAAAATACTGTTCTGTGAGTAAAAATTACATATGGATTACATAATTATGTAATTAAAGTGATCGGTTCTCTTTGATTACTGGTATGCATATATAGAGTGTTGAATGAAAACTTCTGCCTAGATACAGCAACTAGTGTTTACCTTGTTTGAGAAAGATCTTTGAAACTGTGGTTTGAAGTTTATATTGAAAAAAGAAAGTTAGTATTAAATAAAAGATGAAATAAAGTATGCACAGACTATAATTTCTAATCTCTGTAAGTAAATATAAGTTCCTGGATATATTGGTGTAAAGGATAAATGGTTAGAAATATGAGATTAGTAATATGATTAGTAATATGAGAGTAATTGATTTGTTAGTGGTTCAGTAGGTTAATTAAATTTTGGTTCTAAAAGAACAAGGATAAGATTAAAGCAGAAAAGTTGCTTGATGTTATGGACAAAGTGTGTGCAAAAGTTAAGAAAAGGAGGTTCTTGACAGAGAGTACTTTGAAGATTTCTTCATTTGGTCTTAGACTACACAGGAAAAGTTGCAGTCAACCAGGGGCAGAGTGAGAAGCTCATTAAACTTTTTTTTGAGATGATTATTTTGGTTTGAGAATATTAGAAATTAAAGAAAAATGTTTCAGACAAAGTTTATTTTGGTATCTATTCAAGAGAGTTTAAAATGGTATAGCTGATAATGAAAACATGACATTATAAAGGTTCATTTGATAAAATTTTATAATTGGATTGTTAAGTTTTGTGTGGAAAACATTTTAAATGGATAATTTTGTTTATTTTTTGTGTATATTAAGCCATGTGCCTAAAGAGTGGGTAAGGAATCAGCATGAAAGATAAGCACATATAGAAAATATATAAGATTCCAGGGACATGATGTTGTGACTGGTAATGGCAATTTGTAGTTAGGGATGAAAATATCTTTCTTCCCTGTTTGACCTAACAGTTAACATTGCTTTCTTTTAAGTCATTTATATTAACTACTATCGCTTTGAACCTCACTTCTATAGATAATTACTTTAGGAAGTTCAGGCAACAAATAAAGTCTAGACTAGTTTGGAATATAGTCAGTTAATCCTTTTTGTCCTGGGAATAAACTATTTGCTTTTTTTCTCCCCTTTAAACAGAAGCAAGGTACAGTGGAATATGAATATGAGGTTGGTTGAACCAACAGTTAAAATGTGAAAAATGTCATTCTGGTGTGTTAATTTGAATATTGTTTTTAATTTTTAGTGGATTAGGGAAATTACTTTTTAAATATTGCTATTTCATTTTAAATATTTACCTAGTACTAGAAGAAACCAGAGATTTATCTCCAAAGTAATATAGCTTTCTTTACAACCAAATATGCCCCACTATGGGAAGATAATACACATATTCCAGAACTACCAACTAGTTTTTGAAAAGTTTTATAACTTTCTTTGGTAATTTGTAAGTGTCACTAGAGACAAATCTTCATTCATTCATTCATTCTTAGATATTTATTCAATGCCTAGTGTATGCCAGGCCCTTTTGGATACATATTATAGAAGATATATGGAGATTAGTGAAGGTGATATGATAAATGGTGTATTAAAAAAGGGAACACATGGAAATAATGTGGAACACATACGAATGGTGCTAAATCCAAATTTGGAAGGGTGTGTTGAAGAAAACTTTACAGAGGAAGTGGCATATCAGTTGAGACCTGAAGGTTGAATTTGAGGTCACAGAGTAGTCAGAAGAGTGGGAGATGGATCTTGAGTAGGAAATGAAAAATAAATGTTTTTGTTAAAGGGGATGGTATGTGAAGTCCCATAAAGAAAACACTTACGTTTGAGAATGAGAAGATCCAAAATAAGCTTAGTATGGCTGAGCAGTAGTTGTGAGAGAAGAAGAGACAGGAATTTGGAGCTGGACAGTTAGAACCTTTTGAGCAGAGTTTGTTTAGGAGAGTCGGTTTATGTCTGAGTCCCAGCATTATTATTAATATCCTTTCTTTCACTTTCAGTTTTCTCCCTATTGAGATGGTAACATATATGACCACCCTAATTGTGAGTTTATGAAAACCTTTGGATTTCATTCAGACTGGAGAGCCATTGAAATGATTTGAAGAGGGGGTGATACAATCACTCAATATGTTATCTGGAAGGCAGGTTTTTGAGGTAGAGGATGGTATTGGTGGGAGGAATGAAATACTGACTGGAGAAAGGTCAGTTGGGAGCCAATGGAAATATCTGAGGTGGAGCATGGTTGTGACCCTAATGAAGGAAGGTAGGAGATGGGTGGAAGGAAGTCTGGAGAACGGGCATTTTGAGGGATAACTTTGACACATGGTATTGGGATTAACTGGTTACTTGGGGAAAAATAAGAAAAATTCTTATTTGAATGAATTCTAAATACATTAAAGATTTAGATGTAAAAAAAATTGAACCATGAGGAGAAGCGGCAAGATGGCGATGGAGCAACCCCGTCTCTGAAGCCCTCTGCAAAGGAGATCTGCAGTGGGTCTCTGACTCTCGCCCCAGGGGGCTATGGACCCCAACATCGCAGCCTGCTCTTCATACAGAGCTTGGCCATTGCCACCGCTGGGACATCGCAATGGACTGGACAGTCACTGCGGCGCAAACGGTGCCACCACTGCCGCCAACGCCGCAGCCCCTCCCCCACCACCGCTGCCGCCACTGCCACTGCCGCAGCCTCTGTGATGGCCGTAGCACATCACACCACCCAGGCCCGAGGCGATCCACATCAAACCCCTTCAGGGAAGATCTGCTGGATCGCTGCCACCTCTTCTGCGACGGAGACTGTCCTGCCCGCCCGCCGTAAGGCTCCTGTTGCCTGGCCTGAGGCAGGCAGCCATCTTGTTCCTGTCTGGCCCCACCCCCTCTGGGGCGAGCAGCTGAGATAGCACCACCTGCTGGCGATTCAAGGTAACAACACCGAATCGGGAGAAACAAGCTTGATAAAGACATAGACCAGAGTGCTGAACAGAGGGTAATCGGAACTGCCCTTCACAGCAGATCAGGGGCAACAGACCCTAACTGCAAACTAATTTACCAGCTTGAAAAGAAAACTAAAAATCAGACCTGAAAGGACATTGGACTTAAACGAAATGTCTCAGAGTGTGCTTCATTGATTCTATTAGTTTAATGACTTAATTCTATTCCTACTGTATTGTTCCCTTTTTTCTTTTTTTGTTTTCCTTTTCTTCTCTTTTCTTCCCTCTGTAAACTATATCTTTGTGTAGAGGAACAGCACACTAACAAGGTGGTTGGTTAGCTTGTATGTTAGCATCACTATATGTTTTATTTTTATTTTTTATTTTTTGTATGAGAGTTGGTTCGTCTGTAGCTGTGGTCTATTGTTTTTATCAGTTTCACTATAGGCCTCTCTCTCTATTTGTTGGCACACTCATTTGTTTCCCCCCTTACTCCTCTATCTCTCCACTCCCCTCTTCAACCCACTATCTGCTCCATTCTCTCCCCTCTGCTAACCACATTTTATTTCAGGGAGTAAACCTACAGCCCCACTGCACGGACAGATTCCAGGGCAGTGGAAAGTGGGTTCCACATTATCCACACACCTGTCAGTGAATACCAGGACTTGCAGGCAGATTTTGAATCACAGCTCTCCCCTTAAGTAAATCTCAAAACTGCAAAAAGGACCACCTCCAACCTACAGTAAACTCCAGAATTGAACAAAGTAAGAGGACATACATAAAGAATAGGAGATTGAACAAACAGAAGTAAACTCAATACCTTTACCCCTGAATAACAGAATTAAAGATGACGGTGACGTGGAGGGAAGGAAAAAGTAGGGAGGGGGAATAACCACACAAATGAAGAAAAATCAAAAGAAGAATATAGGTCTTACACAGACCCCTGGGAAATCAGACACTGAGAAAACAGATTCTGGAACACAAACAATGAAGAGCCCCGAGAATGACTGTTACGTGCAACAAACCCAGACATCAAGACATTAATGGAGAGAATTAAAAAAATTGTGGAGAGACAAGAGGAAAATAGAAAGGAGCTGATGTCAGAAATGACAGCAGTAAAGAATACTGTGATGGAAATGAACAACACACAAATAAGCATGGAAAGCAGAATCAACCAAGCAGAAGAAAGAATCTCAGAGCTCGAAGACCAAAACACAGAACTAACCCAAACTGTCAAAAGCATAGAAAAGAACTCAAAAAGACAGAACAAAACCTGCAAGAGATGAATGATCACTTCAAGAGACCAAACCTAAGAGTAATTGGGCTTCCTGAGGCAGAGAGAAAAACAGAAGCCACACTGGAACAAACATTTCATGAAATCATTCAAGAAAACT